CAGGTTCAGGGTGAAGGGGCTTGTGTGGGTGGGCATCTGGGTGGACAGAGGACTGCCTTGGGCATGACCGCACAGAGGCTCTGTGCCCCCATATAGTGCTGCCAAGGTCTCAAACAGGAAGGCCAGTAGAAAAGTGTGTCTGTTAATGTGCTTCCGCTGAGAATTAGAGGTCTGGATCACGCCTCCCCCCGACTCCTGCAGTGAGCGTTCCCAGGATCTCTGCATCTCTCAGGAGCATTGGCTTCATATTCTTTCTCTTTCTCTCACACACGGAGACATGCGGACACAAATGTGTGCCAAGCACACACATACACATGTGTATATGCACACACACGCACACACACACCATGTAATGCACAGCTGGTGTAAGTACATGGGCACAAAGGTACATGCATGCACAGTGCATGCACATACACTTCCCACACGCACACGCACACACATACACACACACACACACACACATGATCATATACGACTGACTGACCTCTCAGGAGGCCCGTCTGTCCCTGGGCCCTCAATATCCCTGCCTTCCCTAGGGCGTCAGCAACCCATGAGAGGGGTGTTTGTGACACGGTGGCCCCTGGCCAGGAGTGGCTCCCTCTGCATTTTACTGTCACCGCCACCAGGCTAAATATAGCTTGACAGTGCACAGCCCTGCGCCGGAGACAGCCTCTCTTCCTGGGGGCGGACGGCCAAGGGAGCCCCAGCCTCCTGCCCTCAGCGTGACTTTGGGTGTCCGGGGCAGCCATACTGCAGGAGAAACAAGGAAGGAGCGGGCTGAGGAAGGCTCCCTGGCCAAGGTCACCTTCGAGTAGGGCCTGTGTCCTGACTGGGCCCAGCCTTCATTTGCACATCTGCTGTTGCATCTGGCACCCCAGGCAGGGAGCCTGAGGCTCAGAGAGGAGGAGGGCGACTTTTCTCCCGACGGACGCTGTGTGGCCTCCGGGGGCCTGGAGCGGAGCAACTCTGTGTCTCTTGGCTCCTGAGTGTCGTCTGCATTCCCTTCTCCATCTCCCCCTGGACAACCATATGGGGACGCGTTTAATACTTGGCTGAGTGTGGGCAGGAGCCAGGCCGGTCTGGTTCATCATCTAGTCCCCTCTTCTCCCTCATGGACTCAATGAACATGGGTGTGTGGGTAGAACTGCACTTAGCCAACGGGTGGGGAAAACAAGACTCTGCCCTGAGGACCTTGCCTGGGACACTCCGTTGTCACCTGTAGGCCCTTTCTCTGAATGTCGTCATCATGACCCCCGCTTCAGCCAAGTGCTGTGTTCTGATGCATGCATGCAGCTCTGTTCTTGCTGTACCTGAAATTTGGAAGCCGTGGCCCTGCTCTCACCACCCCCGAGCGTTCATAACCTCTGTGGACGGCCAGGTGAATGCCTTGCCTGCCTCTCTGGGGCCTCTGAGGGTCTGCGAGGAGGCAGGATATGGGGTGGTCATTCTGGACCTCCCTTGCCTTGCCTCCATTGCCCGAGAGGCAGGAAGAGTTAGCTGGGCGGAGGGACTGGCTGTGGA